AACTAAATGAATCCCTTGAATTTGCTCGTAAAACAATCAACTCTTCAAAAGTCCACCTTAAAATGATTAAATGTTTACTTGCATTTAATTTGCTCATTTTAACCTTTATTTTAATTGTAAATACACTTCAATTTATTTTGTCCAATTTGTCCAGTTTAACATTTACTCCAAGCTCAGCCAACCTGACCATTAAAGATGGATCATTTACCGTTGAAATGAATGAAACAATTAGCCAAAATCAACTGGCAAGTCAACTATTTAAATATAAATCAAGTTTAACTCTGTTTTACATTGCACTTGGATTCATCTCATTACTTTCAACTGATTGTTATGTGACGCTATTTTTTACACTTGCCTCATTCATCAACTTGTTTTATCGTTTAATTGTGATTGAACAAGGAAACCATTCAATTGTAAATATTGTTCATACACTCATCATAACCATGATATCATTAGTCTATTGGTTTGAATTGAGGCGGCGATCAACGAAAATTTCATTCCACAACAAAACCATTTCTCTTTCAACACTTTCCTCTTTTCACTCTTCATCTGTATCCACCTCATCCTCATCATCTGCACCAGTTTCACCAACAATCAGCTCGACATTTTTCTCATCATTATCCAACGATTCAAGTCTTCTTCTTTGGATACTTTTTTTCATCTTTGTCTTTCCACTTCTCTGCCTATTCATCATCTCTCAATCATCTCTTGCCAATTCATCGCTCATTGTTCCTCTAACACTTTTATTTGGCTCTCTTATCTCACTCTTTGCTCTCTCAATAATTCTCCTTTTTCTATCACTTTTTTTGCTCACCTTTTTTTCACTCTCACTGGTCTCAGCTGTCTTTTTTTCACTATATTTGACTCCTATTTGCTTTGCCCTTTTATCATACAAATAGTCTCTATTGCATCCATCATCACCATCATCTTCGCCGACGCTTGTATCAGTCGTAAATAAAGTGCAATAAAACTGTAATTATGATCAACATGAATGTATTAACCGATTATTGATTTTATTAGCAACTTATGTTGGGCGATTGAACTTTCCTTGACATCTTCGAGCTATTTTCTTCATCATTGTGACAAGAAATTTTTGGAATACGACCATTTCTTGCTTGACTTGAAGTTGATTTGGTCTTGAAAAACTAGAGTTTTAAAAGCTGAATTTACCGTCAAAAGTTATTTAATTTATTGTGACAACAAATTGGTGAAGCTTTGAAAATTTGATTCCAAAAGCTATTGAGGGCTTCAATAAAATTGTCAGCAAAATTAGTTGGAAAGGTTTTGTTTTCAGTTTGATGTGAAGAGGCTGATACTCTCAAAGTTAATGGGAAAAGGTCTAACTGTTACCCTTCAAATTATCCAATACAGCAGTCAGTCCGGTAACGATCAGAAAGAATCGTTCTCTAATTCTCTAAGACAAAACACTTTCGTCGAACCAAAAATTCCAAGAGTTCAACATGGAGGTTATTAAATCACCCAGCAACTTGTTTTACTTGGGCAAACGTGGCTGCTCTGGAACCTGAATTTTGGCTAATCATAAAAGATTGTGCAAAGCTAAAAGATTGCATTACAGGAATATAATGAAAAAACGAAGATGAAATTCAAAGTTCATTAAGCATTATCATTCGTCATACAAACTGATCACAATGGTTATGATTATAAACTATTGATTAAAGTTGATTCAAACCCAACTTCTGGTACAAGCATAACATTTTACATAAAACAGAGGTACAACTGAAACAAATCTGTCCAGCTTCAACTTTTATTGAAATTAAAAGTTGGTCAATCAGATAAAGCTTCAATAATTTCCCTCATCTTTTACCCTTGCACATTCAAAATCTTATCTCTTCATGATCCTCATGTATCAACTGATTGATTTGTTGCTCTTGATATGCACCTGCAAATATTATCATAAATTCAAAATCATTTATTCAGAATCTGCTTCTAGATTACAGGATATCAAGAAAAATTTGTCGTCTATTCCCAGCATTACTTAGCCAACACACATTTTCAGCCAAAATTTTCACCTTTAACTGCATCTCCAGCCTAAAGGATGAAAATAACAGCTTTAATGATGTTTCATTGAAACTTGATAACTTGAACCAAAACAGATTGAAAACAAAAGCAAAGATTCTTCCACTTAATATCATTTGTTCATTTTTTAATCACTGACTGTAGTCGATTGCAACCAAACAAAAGTATCAATGATTGTAATACCAGTGGATAAGCTTTAATCGGATTAAGACTAAGATAATGATAATTCATGAAACATGAACGAATAAAGAAAATGAAACCCAAATAGACTTGCCAAGTAAATGGTTTCATTAAAAGTTTCCTTGACGGCACCAGTTAATCAAGTCGATAAAGATTGATAATTTTATTATTAATACAATTTTCAACTTGGTGTAAAAATTAGAGTTGAAATGAGCAACTAAAAGGTTCTCATGAAGATTATCATTTTTAGGTAAACTTGATGTGAGTAATGAACATATTCAATTTGATGAATTGATATTGAGCATTCTGGGAATTTGGTGAAAATCTTTGAAACTCATCTTTCAACTTTTCTCTTAAGGTAAACTCGCTACAATTAACCATCATTAGAGGGTTTAATGAGCGTAAAAATGTTCATCTCAGGCAACAGCAATGTTTAGCTTTGATTATTGATATTGATTAAATTATTAATAACAATCATTATGAAGCTTTAAATATCCATCATTATTAGTAAACAGTAATGGGTATCAATGACAAAAGGGGAACATTTAAGAGCAATAAATGCAAGATTAATGAATGGTAAAAGAAAATGCGATAAAAGGTAAACAATTATTGCTATTAGTTAATTAATAATTATTGACTGATGGCAAAGTGTTACACTCGCGTTGAGCATTAAAAGAGGGAAAAGACAACAAAAATTGATTAAATTTTATCACCAATCAAGTTTATCAACGTTAATTAAGTAAAAGGTAAATAAAATTACGGATTAATTGGGATTCTTTAATACATTGGGATAAAGTGTTGATCAGATAATTTGCTTTTCTCTCCTTTACTCCAAACCCATTTTAATTGCTTTCAATCTTGCTTCGTTTTTCTGGATTAGAAAAGTTTACTTTTTGAAAAATTAATTTTTACTCATTTCTTTTTACGCTGAAAAGGCGGAAAAATATGATTTAAGATGAAAATTTTTCATGAGTCGACTTGAATGGATTCTGAGGGTTAATTCTTGGCTTTGAGTCTGAATTGGGAATTGAAATGTTTGAGGTTCAGAGGAGCTTTTGCTTGATCCAGAAACGCGTTTTTGGAAGAAAAATTTTCTTTCTCTTAATTAATCTGGAAAGGAATTTTCAAGCCTCAAATGGCTACATGATTCATGTAGAACTTTAAATTTAACCTGAAAAGAATTCCAAGTTTAAATCGAGTTGAGGCAACATTTAACCTTTCAACTTTTATCCAAAATTGTCAATATTGAAGCTCTTCAAGTTGACAATGAAACTGTTGTAAAGGAAAAGTTATTCTGATCACTTTTCAGCCTTTTTTTTGTTTTTTCATGGTAAAAGTGAAACAACAAGAAATGAAAAGGTTAACATGAACACAGAGAGAAAAACATTTTATTCGCATGGAAAGTTTCATTTTACTTTTTCTCTCTTCTTCTCACTTGGCAAATATAATGGTAAAGATGAATGAAGATGATGATGAACTACTTAAAAAATGTTATAAATGATCGTCTTTTGAAGCGGAAGCAACAAGCTTGGAAACTCATTGAATGATTATCTCAGCTGATTATAAAGTCTTTGCAATTTAGCAATTTGAATGTTGAACAGTAAAATTGGATGAATGAATTGTGATCAACATTTGATGATTTGGTTAAAGTAAAAGATGAGAGAATCTCAAGTGGAAGAATTGAGAGTTATCAGGGAAAACAAGGTGAGTTTATCTGAATTGGAGGAAACGCTAATCACTTTTGCCGTCCTTAAATCGTCATCAGCAACACTTGCGATTCAACCTTGAATTATCTCAAATTAATATCTGAAACCAGATACGAACATTTAACTTTCAAGTTTTTCATTGAGTCTAGACTTTTTTTAGGCTGATCAGGTGAAACTTGAATAAACTTGAATAAACTGTTTTCTCACCTTTACCTTTTCCCATTGCATCAATGGCATTATTAATGATCAATGGCAAATGGTAAAGTTTATTGAAATGAAACACGAAAATGAACAGTTTGACTTTTGTTCAATATTAAGTTCTTGTTCAATGTTCAGGGCAATTTGCATCATGATAATGGTGTAACATGTAAATTAACCGTTTCCGTCTGTTTCATGTTTCGTCTAATAATTGGTTATATTTTGTTTCACTTGTAAAAGTAGAACAGCAAGATTGAAGATGAACAAGAATTACGGTGAAATCCGAAATAACAAGTTTATTAAAAACAAAGAGAGAGAGAGAGAGAACGTAACCATGGAAACGGTAAGAAAGTATATTGGAATGGAATTAGAGAAAAGATGAAAACATGAAATGTCGAGTCAAATTTGCATGAATAAATGTTTCAAGTTTCACCATTTCTTTGCTCAACATCAAATTTAACTTTGGACAGAATTTTACATTTTTGTTCTCCTTCGAAAGAAACAATGGAAATTTCGATTTTTTCTTCTTTTCTTTTTTTTACCGGTAAACTTTTTGCATTTTTAAAATGGCTTTTTGAACCTCTTCAACTATTATCGTTAACTTATCATTTGATTATCTGATTCAATTCTTGTTGGCGGTAATAACAGTGTTACCATGGTTATGAGCGTATTAAAAACGTCAGAAAAGAGTGAAGATGAAGATGATGGAAACAGATTGATTCAGTAATGAGAAAAGGTGAAAATGAAGTTTTTCATTTTCTTTCTTCTCATAAACTTCAGGTTTTTTATCAGAAAAGAAAAGGGGAAAATTGTGGAGAAATATCATGATGAAGGAGAGAGGGAAAGGGATGATAAGAATGATGGTGATGAGAAACTTACCGATAAATCTTTACAATTGGATAAGTCCTTGTTATTATCGTAATAAGTCATTGGAAGAAATGGTTTACTTTCTGAACTTTTTTGTGAACAATTCAACGGTTCCGTTTGGTTATTGGTGTCTTCGTTGGCCGTTTCATTGGGACAACTGTATTTGAGTTCAGTTTCGGTTCGAGATCGACGACTACTTGGTGTACAGCCCATGTCGAAGAGGTGAGGCAATGGCAATGATGGTAATCACATTTAAATGGTACAAAATATTTTCCGTTAAAAGAATCACTCGATTGGGCGAATGGATGAAAAGTCGATGCAAACAAACAAAACAAACAAACTTCACCAATTCACAATGGAACAAGTTGAAACACAAGAAAAAGATTGGCACCAAATTGCGCTATTACAATGTAAAGGTGTTAGTTTTTAATCCATACACTTTGGTTGTTGATGAGCAACTGGGAAGAGAGAGAGAGAGAAAAGAGTTGATGAAAGTCTCAGAGAGAAACTTTGTTATTAAGAAAGTTGGATGGAAATGATGGAAATGATAATGATGATAATGATGGTGGAAACAATAGGAAGAGAGAAACACACAAAAATATTGATTGAGGCCAAAGTAAATAGATGAGATGAAAAGTAAAACTATTGTCAATCACATTATTGAATGTTTACGGCCTCTTGCTGTGGATAATCATTCACATGTAAATAAATATATCAGAATAAGTAGAGAGAGAAGTGAGAGGAAGAAAAGTAGATGAATATATGATAATAATTCAGTTGAATAAACGATATTTTTTTGCTTCTTCTTCTTCTTCTTGTTTTGCTATTCTTCAAGCCTAAACACAGTTGATTGGGTGAACAAAAGTTATCTGAGGAAAAAGTATTGGAATTGAAGTCACCAACATGACAAGGGAAAGCTCATGCCTTGAAATGCATTTGGGTTTTGAGAGTGAAAAAGATGATGATAATGATGATGAGAGTGAGCTTTGTTTTGAGTTGAGCAAGTGCGTCAAAGTGACAAGACTCTAAGAAGAAACATGTTAGAGATTATGAGGGAGTCGAATCCAGATGATGATAATGATGATGGGAATGATGATGAGAGAAAGGTCAGTGTGAGAGAAGAAATGAAAAGAAGAAAAGTTTGAAATGAAATGTCGAGTAAAGAGAAATGTGAAGTTTTCCGATTTCATTTTACATTCAATTTTTACTGCCTTTTGACTGTTGAAAACAGACAAACCGATAAAATTGCATTTAATAGCAGAGAGAAAATTATTGAGTAGAAAAAAAATTATCATGAATTTAGAGATTTTTTCCTTCTACACTTTTGCTTCTTCCTTCATCAAAGTTGCTCAGTTTTCCGTTTTACTTCACTTTTACATGAAATGCATTTTTCTGGTTTTTTGCCTCTTCGACACATTAGCACCTTTACTCTCAATGAGACTTTAGCACTTCTTTGCTTTTGATTCCGTTTTTTGGCACTTTTGCTCTTCGCTTGTGTTTACTGGTTAGCTCGACTTAACCGGTTTCAATGGCGTTTCAATTTTAATACTGTTTTGGCTGATTGCGTGTTTTAGTCAACCATTTGTTTGTGTGTTGATAGTTTTCATCTGATGATAAAAGCTAATGTAGTGATAATAATAAAGCAGAGTGATTAATGTCGACCATGAAAGTTAACTCATTTGAAAAAAAAGTTACATTAACATGATAAATAATATGATGGGAACAAGTAATGTTTAAGGAAGACAGAGACAGAAAGTAAATTTAATAACTCAACTTGAATAACCTTAAATAAGATATAATAAGCTGTGTGTGTGTGTGTTTAGGCTTGTTTCACATGAGTTTGTTTATACACATTTAATACTTACTCTTATTTACCTTTATATCCTTGATAACAATTCTAATCAATTGGATAAATTAACAGGTATAATGGTTTGCTGATGATGACAACTTGTAAACAATTACAGTATTTATCATCACTTTACATCATCGTCATCACCCTCAGCCATTATTATTATCATTATCATCATCTTATTACAAATGAAAATTGTCTCAATCAGGGACTTTGATTCATATTAAAAGGTAACTTCAACCTTCACTCTGATTGAGCACAAGTTGACTCTTTTAACTGCTCTAATCAACTGTTATAATCAACTTATGGCAACAAATATACAGCAATCAACTCAAGTAATCAAAGCTGGTGACAATGTCAAGAAGAGTTGAGGTAAATGAAAGGAAAGTGTAAACAGACGAAAAGGAAACTAGGAAAAGTTGTTGGAATTTCATGTTGAAAACAGAATAGATTTTTCAGTCGAAAAAAGTTGAAATCGATTTTTTAAATCAAAACTTACCTCAACTAATTTTGTAGATGAAAGTATTGTTGAGACTAGATTGTTGATTGAAAAGTTGGGTAAAGGTAAATCCAAAGGACCATTTCAAGTTGATTGGCTGAAAAAATGGGTTCAATTGGTTGTTAACGTTGGCTGAATCAAAGTAAAGTTGATTGATAAAGATGTTGATTAACACATGGAAACGTTAATTTGACTTGCAATGTTTTGGTTGCATTGAAGATGGCAGCATAATCAGTCCTGGTTTTTTGGTTTAGGTTGGTTTAGGTTGGTGGCAGTGTTGTGTTTTTTTTGTTGTTAATTATACAAATTATTATTTACTTTAAATGTTGAAATTATTTTTAATTGTTGCGGTAAAGGTAAATCATTATTGTAATTACAAATGTTACAAATGATCAACACTGGTGATGATAATGAGAATAATGATGACGGAGAATAATGAAGATGAAAATTAAATATTCAATGGTGAGGTAAACATGTTAAAGTCAACAACAAGAGGTAACATTTTGGTTGTACAATAAAAGCTGGAAAACAAAGGTTGGTAAATTGATTGGATTGTTAAAGGTAAGAAGGAAAACTACAATTAACATGATTACATGGATTATTATTCAATGGTGTAATCCAATGGATCCAAAATGGTAAAGTGAAAAAACCAAAAGAAACAAAAAGAAGCTCCAAGTGTAACCAGATTTTTTTTTATTCTCAACCAGATTTATAAAGCAGTTGCAAGTGTAAACCCAATTTACAATGAAAGTTTGTCATTTTTCACTGTTGGTTGACGGTTTGGTGTTCATTTATTGATTGTGGTTTCATGTGTTGCTGGTTTTTCATGTATATAAATGGTGCTGGTTAAACTAAACATGATTAACCAACAAGTAAAATTAATTTTGATCAAGGCAGGGAGAAACAAGTGAGAGCAAGTGAGAGTGAGATGGGAAAAAAAGCTGAAAGTGAAACACACAAAATGGGAAAAAAACTGCAAGTACAAACCAGGTCAAGTATAAAACACAAACATACAAATGTTAACTTTCTCATGATGATTTTTACTCGCACTTTTACTTATTCCTATTATCAACATTATTATTATCATCATTAATATTAACATTATTGTTATTAACAATTGTTTGCAATTTAATTTTTGAAACGTGCAAAAGACGTCAAGCAAGGAAACGAAACAAAAGGCTGAAAAGATTCACATCATCATCACTTTTATTGTGCGTTTCATCATGTTGTTTTAACTCTTGAGCTACTAATTGATATCATCATCATCAATGATAGACAATTGTCGACCTTGCTTAATAAACATTTTTTTGTCTTAACCTCAACACAATTTGTCATTGGGGATTAAATCTTATTGTTGCCCATCAATCATGTGAATATTAAGAATAGGTAATTTGCTGGCAATTTAACATGTTTAATAACTGATTATTCAACATCATCAACCTCAAGGTGATCATTGATTTGCATTAGGCATTTGCTTTTTACTTTCAGCTTCGCTCTTTTCTTGTTTATCCGATATTCAAATTGGTCTTTAACAATATTCATTTTATTGTAATAATCCATACAATATAAAGTCGAAGCAATGTTTTTTTTGGGGATATTGTGATCGAACTGAATGGCTTTTAAAGAAGCTATGATTGAGCTACAATCAAGAAAATAGTCAGAGCTTAATCATGATTCTGGTTACTGAGAAGTTCATGTTTAAACAGGGTTGGCGGAAAACTTGTAGAAGCTGTATTTTGATCCATTGAAGCAGCAATTATAGCCTCTATTAGACCTGAGAACGATCCGATTAGAGATTGATCCCTTGAATATCACATGTATTAAAAGCTATTACCAAAGTTACAATAGTTATTACCAAAGAAGTAATAACAAACCTATTCAAAACTCTTGAATGTGAAAGTTTGGCACCGAAGATGGTCGACATGATATTCAACTTAGTCGATAGTCGATGATTGTATCGACTGACTGACTAACTACATCGGTTAACTTGAGTGTCTGATAAAAGTTTTGACTATATTTCAACCAACCGAGAAATTTTAAAAAATATCGTTTGGGTTCGATTAAAGCTAGATCCTGAATCGATGCTGAAAAACGACGATTTTCCTTTAGTGAATATTAATGGAAGCAATCAAAGTATTTTTTTGTGATAACTCTTTTATTTCAGGCTGAAATAAGCGAAAAATCCAGGTAAAATGAGTAGCTTTTGGATAGAGATAAATCGAAGATTTTATCTGAATCTTTGAAGTCATTTTATTAAATGAGCATTTGGCATTATTGTGATTTTAATTCTTATTACATTTTTTAAATTTCATTGGTAAATGAAACCTGCCAAGGTAATTATAATGGTAAACGAAAGTGTTAATAGCGATGTAATGAAACTGTTGTTTATAGTAAAGAGATTGGCGAAAGTAAAGCCAACATCACTGAGCGCCATTCGAGCAATAAAGATGTCATTCTAAAAGACGAAATTGGAAAGTGAAAAGTCAATCATTTCAATGGACTTCAATTTTATTTCATTTTACTTACTTCATGGCATGATTCAAATGTGTTTAATTTGAAGGAAAGTTCATACAAATCTTCCATTCCTTTACGTGATACATTGCTCACTTCAACCAGATTGTAAGTCAAGATGATGAAATGTAATGTAGTTATCGATATGAATAGTAGCCAAATGGCACTGATGTGCGTCTTTGGTCCAAATGACATGACGATGTTCATCGTGTTGTAATTAAAGTATTTTATGTAGTATAGTGTAATAATAGAGCGAAGAAATTTTTCAGCACTTTGAGTTGATCGAACTGCATAACTATATTTTTGCCTTAAATCTCGGATTTTATGGAATAAATAACCAAACGATTGATCAGATGTATTTTTCAAATCGCATATTTGGGAATTAATGTCATCAAAAGATGCTTTAAGCCGAAAGCAAATGTTGCAAATCATGTTGATGAGGAATAAAACGAAAAATCTAATGATTGCTGTATGGAGAACAAGTAAATTGAATACAAATGGATTTACAATACCAATTGATTTAGTCTTTTCATTCACGAAGAAACAAATCATAAAAACGATGAAAGCCACACTTAAAAGGACTTGAACGATTCGACGATTTTTCTTTATTGTTCGAACTGCTAACTCTTCCGTTTCAAGGGACAACAGTTGAATGGTAGAAATAAATTCTCTGAAATTATCCCACTTGAAGCCAAAAATAACCACCAAAATAGTGCCCACCAGATCGATGGCAACTGCCATGTCATGGACACATCCAATTATCTTAAGTTTTGTCGGGGATTTGCAGTTGCGAAAAAAGTAAATATACATGTAAACGAGCCGAAAAGCCGAACCACAAACGATAGCCAATGAAAGTATAATTTTGGTTGCTTTTCTAAGTAGGTATTTCGAGGGCACAATGTATCCATCTAAGACCACTTGATTAGGTTCATTTGAAGTGGTTGAGGATGGCATTTCGACTCTAACTTCCATTGTTTAATAGTGAAATGAGTTTTTCATTTTCATTCAAATTTTCACAATAAAAATGATCTTAGCGTAAAATAGAAATCCATGAGAATAGAAATTTAGAAGCATAATCAACCGTCAATGAGAGTACTATTTTAATAGCTGGTCCGAGTGTTTATTTCGATGGTAATATGTACCCATCCAAGATCACTTCGGTAAAGTATTTACAGGTTTTGTTTAGTCTTTAACTGCTGAAGTTTGACTGAAAATTATTTTCCAAATTGCAATCAAATAGTTTAGTACATCATCGATTTGATCCAGTTTTAGTAAGCAAACACGAATGGCTTTTTATTCAATACAAAAATTATCGGGACAAAAAACAGATAAAACTATGGATACAGAAAACTGAGACCTCGATCATTTATAACCATTGATTGTCCAGTTCTTTCTTCATGCTGTTTTCATGAAAGCAAAATAATACAATTGTATGTTCGATAAAATATTAAATTAATATAGCGTAAGTTTTACAAAAATCAAATGAAATCATTCAGATCGAAGCTGATTGTCACTATTGATCGAAAAAATGAATGGTCCCAATAACATATTAACAATAGAAATGGACAATATACAGCATGTAGCAATGGGAAGTTGAAAAGAAAGAGAAAGAAGAGCGTTCTCCATCGATATAAATTATCGTTCCTATGAAAAGTTTCAACTTTTTTTGGTTAAAATTAACTCGAAAGCAATCGATATCTAAGGTGATCATTGATTTGCATTAGGCATTTGCTTTGAGCTTCGGTCTTTTCTTGTTTTCTGTTATTCCGATTGGTGCGAATATTGCAAATCATGTTGAGAAGGTATAAGGATTCAGATCTTAACATTACTTAATGATTATAAATGCAACCGTTTAATGTTTTTTTGTGTTAACTCTTTCAGGGGAAAATGGAGAAATCAAGTTTTAATGATTCCCTGTTATAAAGAGATAAATCGAAGATTTTGTTTGAATTTTATCCAATAGCGTTTGGAATTATTGAAATTTTAATTCTCCATAACAATTGTTTTAATTTTCATTGGTAAATGAAACTGGCCAAGGTAATTATAATGGTTAATGAGAGGGTAAATAGCGATGTAATGAAACTGTTGTTTATAGAAAAGAGGTTGGCGAAAGTAAAGCCAACATCACTGAGGGCCATTCGAGCAATGAAAATGTCATTCTAAGAGACAAAATTGGAAAGTGAAAAGTCAATCATTTCAATGGACTTCAATTTTATTTCATTTTACTTACTTCATGGCATGATTCAAATTTGTTCAATTTGAAGGAAAGTTCATACAAATCTTCCAATCCTTCACGCGATAAATTGTTTACTGAAACCAAATTGTAAGTCAAAAGGATAAAAAGGATTGTGTCGATCAACATGAATATTAACCAAACAAAATTGATGCTTGTCTTTGGTCCAAATGACATGACAATGTTCATGGTAATGTAAGAAAAGTATTCCATGTAGAATCTTGTGATATACCAGCGAAACAATTGTTCAGCACTTTGAGTTGATCGAACCGCATAACTATACTTTTGCCTCAAATCTCTGATTTTATAAAATAAATGGTCGAGAGATCGATGTGTAGTTGTATTCAAGTCATTAATTTGTGAATTGATCTGATTAAAAGCAGCCTTTAGAAAGAAGCACATGTTGCAAATCATGTTTAGATGGAATAATGAGCCAAATCTGAAGAGTGCTGCATGAAAGAAGCGTAAGATGAATACAAATATATTGTCAGTATGAATAGATAAAGCTCTAACTGTTATGATGTACATAATCGCAAAAATAATGAAAGCCACAGTTAAAAGGACACGAATGATTCGACGATTTTTCTTGATTCCTCGAACTGCATATCTATCCGTTTCAAGAGCTAGTTGAATGGTAGAAATGAATTTTCTGAAGTGATTCATATTGAAGCCAAAAAGGACCATCAAACAGGTGCACAACAAAATGATTACATCTAGAGAATTATGTAAACATTGAAAAAGCAAAATCTTTGTGGTGTATCTGCAAGTACGGAAAAGATGAATGGAAATCCATGAAAGTTGGAAAACTGATCCATAAGCAGATGTCAATAAGAGTACTATTTTAATCGCTGGTCCAAGTATGTATTTCGAGGGCAAAATATATCCATCCAAAATCACTTGGTTGAGTGTATTTAGAGGTTTTGGTTGAAACATTTTATCTGTAACTGCTAAGGTTTGACTGAAAATGATTTCCCAAAGTGCAACCAAATTTATCTATCAATCGATTTGATCCAGACTTGGTAAGCAAACACGAATGGCTTTTTTGTTCAATTCAAAAATTACTGGAACAAAAGAAACAGTGAAAACTATGGATACTTAGAAATGGAACCCTGATCATTTATAACCATTGATTGTCCAGTTGCTTCTATTTATTAATCCATTTTGATGAAAACAAAACAATACATTTCTATGAACGTTAAAATATGAGTTCACAATTCCGGTAATTTTGACGAAAATCGAATGAAATCATTCAGATTGAGACCGATTGTCACTAAGTGTGAAATGCAATGCACTTGATTAATGGAAAGGAAACAATTTTATGAGCAAAGAATTTAAAGAAGTTTCAATTTACACGGCATTATTATCAACGTCTTTTTTGAGTTAATTGCTGGATTCGTTACAAAATGTCTATTATTTTCTGAAAATTCGAGGGGACGAGAAAACTTCTATGGCATTTTCACGGTCGTCCGAATGGTTTATTCCGTTTGGTCCTCCATATTTATGAATAGGTTAAAAGATAAACTTTTCAACTTTATTATTGACGAAAAAATTGATTAACTCGATTTGTATGAG